TATCAAATATCAGTAAATGGATATTGTTGTTAATTTGATATTAACTAATGAAAGAAAATTCTAAGTATATTTTATGTATAATACAGAAACTTGTTCTTTGGAAATAAATAAATGTATTTAAATAGAAAAGCTTCTTGGTGAAATGAATGTATTTTTTTTTTTTATAACAATTTTTTTAAGTATTGTATGTTTACAGTGCAGTATATGCTTCAAGTGATTCACTCGTGTTGAAAATTTAAGAGTTTATGAAGCGATTATTCGCTGAACTTATTTGATATATTTGTAAGGTTTCTTGAATACGAGTAATCTGAAGAGATATTTGAAATCTCATGAAAGAAACATCAGATGTAGTGTATGTCCTAAGAAATTTAAGTTTGTAGTTTGAAAAGTCGCGAAGCTTCTCGTCTTAGAATTTTGTAGTGAATAATCACAAGTTCTTTTCATGTAAAAAGGATATGAAAACTTATAAAGTTACTTTTAAGAGTAAATCGTGATAAAAAATATTTAGTGAGCATAAGAATTTAAAACAATATGAATCTTTACATCGTATTGAATGTTCGGACATTTTTTTCAAGTAAAACAGAATTTGAAGAAAATCTCACGAAACCTTTTTTTTTTTTTTTTAAATTTGCCGGTGTCAAAAGAAACAGAAATATGCTGATGATGATGTGTTTTGAAACAGCATGATACTTCTCTTCTTATAAATTGCATCCATTGTTTACAAGTGTTTAAAAGAAAAAGTGATCTCTTACACCACATTCGAATGCGACATGATTTGATGTGAATCTTAAAAAACAAAAACGAAGAAAAAGAAACGTTGACATCGTTAATACATGCAAGTCTTCTAAAATCGCAAGTCTTAATAGTATGTTCGCAATTGAATCGATTTGCTAGAACATAGAAAATGATCATGTCTTAGATGTACTTCTTGAATATATAAAATTGTAGTTAGTAGGGAAAAAAATGAGTTATGATGTAGTTACACTGAGTTACACTGAGTTATGATATCGGTGTTTGAAATGGTAATCAATAGTTACATTTAAAATGTGTCGTGAGTGTGAAAATGCAGAAAATAAAAGAGCTTTGGCGAATTTAATAAACTTGGTTCAATGTGGTTGATGGAAAAATTTGTTCCATGTGAATTAAATAGTGTAAGATATGAACCTCTTTTCTCTCAATAGTTAATTATTCAATTGTAAGACAATTAAACTTTAAATATATATGCATATAGTACATGTAATGATTAATATTACATTGATTAATGTAAATAACTGATGATATGTGTATTAACATAGTGAATGTTCGCTTTTATGAAGTTCTAAGCATTACTTTAAATACCATTCATAAAACTTTTATCTCATATACAAACATGACAATATCTATTGAGTTTTCGTTTATTCTTTGGAATGTATGAAAGTTTAAATATTTTTTTTTAATTTAATGTAGATTGGAGTAAAATATCTGTATCTTTCTTCATTTCAATCGGTAATATCTGTATGCTGGTAAAGGTACATATGTTCGTAAGAATTATACTGTGTCACATTTTTGACAATCTTCTTTCATTCATATTAGCTAATAAGAGAATTATTGAAGTTAGTAAAGTAATGAAAATCAACGTTATTGAAAGAAAACTCTAAAAGCATTTACATTTCCAGAAAGAAATATATCAAAGTTCCTTTTCTTAAAAACAGCAGGTGTATCGTAGTTTTTATTTCTATTTCATTAAAAGCTGAACTTGTAAAATAAAAATTTTCTATTAGTGTAAGGTAAACAAAAAGAAAATCAAGAGACAATCCGTATCATGAATGAAATTCAAGTCTTACATCGGATTAAAAAGAAATATTCTGAATCTAAATGTTTATGCCTATTTAGCACAAAATGCGTTTATTTGTGTTATAAATTTAACTAAAACCATTCTTATAACAGTATGTTGCCTTTAAACTGGGTAAAAAGTGTTAAGTATATTTTCTGATGGTATTGATATACTTGTCAAAGAAGTTCTAGAAACCTCAAATGTCGAAAGAGCATATGATAAGAATCTCCTTTCCTATCGCTACGTCAGTTACAGGTTAAGGGGTGGCTTGAATGGATAAAGGTAATGTTTGTGCAAAAATATAGTAGTTCTTTTGAAATGAGAAATAATTCGCTTTTTGTCAATTAAGGAAACTTGTGGTATTATTAAACAGAATGTCAGTGAAAGACATTGCGTTTGCATAGTGAATTATGAAGGTACTGAAAGGTAGTAAAGAAGGTGAATGAAAGAATTAATTTGAACAAATAAGGTAAGGCTATCATTAAAAGAAAAAAAAACTGTTTAAAAGATGTATGTTAGAATTAAAAGTAAGATGTTAAAATTTAAAAAGATGTAACAGAGTAAAACCAAAGAATACTGGTAATTCCCATCTGGAAAACAGTAATTTGAGTACGATATTGAAAAAGTTGGGTTTTAAGAATTTCTTTATGCATGTGATGCAAAACAATTGCTAGTTTATCATGAGTGCTGACATAGATGCAATTAGTGCAGGAAAAATAGTAAAATTAGTATAGTTAGTGTCTCTAAAACATGAAAAAATAATAGTGTGAGCAGTGTAAATTCATTTGAAGTACTGAAATATGACATAGACTAAATATCAGAAATGTAAGAAATATTTTGGTATGTGTGGATGAAACACTGAACGTGGTTGTAAAATTAGAAATGAAAATTATCAACACACTTAAAGGTAATCGGGATTTAAAACTAAACATGATGTTAGAAACTTTGAAGACCATAAAACTATATGAGAAAGAAATACATTTAGATATAAATGGTATTAAACTGTAAAGTTGTGAATGGAAATTTCTGAGTAAAACCTGTAGATGATCTATTATGATCGCAGAATAAAACAAGTATTTAAAAAATTGTAAGGAAATGTTTGAATATGGAGTAAATGAAAACAATTCATATCGTTAAAATGAATAAAAAGGGATAAAATGTTGGAATTACGAGTGATGAGACAGAAATAAAAACATTATAATAAATAAGTTAAACTAGAATTAAGAAATATAAACACAGAAGGGAAATCATGAACGTAAGAAAAGCAATTAACAGTTATAGACTTAAGTTTTTAAAAAAAATATTCGGTAATGTAAGGAAGATATTGTTGAACATGTGAAAGAAATTAGAAATTCTGTAGAAAATTTAGTAAAAGAACTAAGATCACGAAAAATAAACGTTTCTTTTTAAATAGAATTTCAAACCACTAAGTTAAAGTGTGTATAGAATACTAGAATGGTTTAAAAAAAAGTAAATGAAGTTAAAATTCAGAATATATTGAACATTATAACGTTAAAAAAAGTGTGAAATTGCATCTAAAATTAAGTAATGTAACAAATAAACAGCATGTGCGGGAACGTTTGTAAAATATAATATATAAGTTAAAAATCAGGGTATGCTGAAATGGTATGAAAGGTATGAAAAAAAAATAGTATGTGGAAAATTAAATAAAATATTACAAATTAGAAAACGTTAAGTATTAAAAAAAATATGACAGTAAAGGAATATGTTATTATGAACAGAAAACCTGAGAAATAAGTTAAAGTTTCATGAAAAACTAGAAAGGATAAAAGTATTAGAATAAATTGATGAGTCGATTCAAATTCCATTTTCTTAAATAGGCTTTTTTACCTGAATCTGAATGTATCACATCAGCTTAGTGGTTAAAATCTTCAAACTACTGAGCTGGTGAGATATTTTGTTTGAGAGTTCAATTCTATATTTTGAATCATAGAACATTTAAAAAAAAAAAAAAACTTCTAAAATAGATTATTTTCTTTTTTCATCCCTAGAGGACGCCATAAGCAATTCCTAAATAGATTATTTTCTTTTTTCATCCCTAGAGGACGCCATGACTCCGTTGCCAAATTAAAAAAAACTAACTTTTAATGAAAAGCAGGAGGTCTACAACTCAATCAGCAGTCTACGAACAACTCAACTCCACTCGTGACCACGCTTCCTAGTGTGATGACGTTGCCTTTGGCCCCGCCCTCTGTGTGACGTCATTGACCACGCCCTCAGCTCCTCAGCTCCTCCTGATGCAGAACTGTCATTTTCTATCTACTGTGGGCGTTTAACTTTAAAAATTGTAGACGTTTTAAAGTGAATATTAACGGCAAATTGTTTCAGTGGATGATAGATAATTCTATACTTTTGCAATTATTTGAAATTTGTCTAATGAAATGGAAAGAAATGCATAATAATCAAATGAAATTTCAGTTTATACTGTCAGCTTTAAAAACCGTTTGTTAAGTGTAAGATGGACATGAAATTTTTACAAGCAGCACGAAATTTTATGATTGAGCATTACCTCGCAACCCATAAATTTAATAGCGATGCCATCTTTTTCAAACTCTTTGTTGGTAGTTGTGGTATTTCAACTCTGGCTTTATCCAATTTCTGAAAAGAGTCGTTTAGGAGAGTTTTAGGAGGCGGCCATTTTGTTTCCTACGGAGAATTCTTCCCGTTTCTCCAAATTAGCTTACCAGGTGGAAAATCATTGTCTTGTATAGTTCACGAACTTCGGGAAGGCCTCTTTAAACGTTTCAACAAGTTTTCTCTAATGCGTTACGAAGTAATGCTTATTGGTAAAAATTCATTTGGCTTGAGAGTATCGTGCACTAAGTGATTTTTCAAAGCTGACCATAAATGGAAGCTGAAATTTCAAGTAATATATTTCTAATAACATTGCAGGACGTGATCCATTGAAATGATTTTTTATTCATTTACATTGGGAGTTTATATAATTTTTGAAAGATTTATATGCACAACTTTCGGATTGCTCTGTATAATGAAAGCTGTCGAAAGTACAAACCATTTATACTTTTCAAAATTATGCTATTTTGTTTAACAAATATGTTGCTTAAATAAGATTTTCGGTTTAGTTCTTAAATTAGATTTATAAATTTATTTCACGTAAACAGAGTATTCATTAAAAATTAAAGTAATTAAATTAAATAAGACTTACTTCATGACTGCAAGATGAAGAGGTGTAAATCCTTCTGCAGTGACAGAATCGACATCAACACCCATAGGAAGCAATACCTGAAGATTTTAATGTATCATTTTTTTAAATCTGCGTTATTACTGACTTTTAAAGATAAAGGAAAACAGGAACAAAAAATTCACAAATAAATGCAATAAAATTAATTTTAAATATATATTTTTGTTAAAGCATAAATTTACTTTTAGAAAGGTAAGCTCTTTAATAGATATTTAAAACATTATGCAACAAATTGCACAACTCATATAGACATATTAAAAATATATACAATACTAAATGGTATATGATTGAATTTTCAAAATTATGTTTAGTTTAGTTACAGAAGTTTTGTTGCTTAAGGAATTTGGTAATATACTGTAATAATAAATTTAATCTTCTGTTTTCAGTGCAAGAGAATATGTGATGACGTTTCATAGTTTAATAAGTAAGCGTTAAATTTTGTTTAATGCATAGATTTTAGAATTCAGAAATAATGTTTTCAAACATAAAATAATTCGTAATCTGACGTGATAGTTTAGACCAAAGTATTCCGCATTATATTTAGGTAAAACTATATTATATAAATGTTCGAAAAAAGCGTCTACTGGCTTTATTTCGGTAAATATTGGTTTTAATCATACTCTTTGAATTACTAAAAATAGAACTGGTCAAACGTCAGTAAATAATGGTTCTAAACCATATACTTTGAGTTATTTAAAATAGGACTAGTCAGTCTCTAAGCATAAAATAAATTTTATGAGAACAGTTTGAAAGCCGCTGTTCAGAAGGCTGTACCAGTATAAAATATGGTTTTATATGTGGTCTCTGTGAAGAGAATTTCCAAACAGTCATATAGTCATTGTACTTTAAAATGTTAAATATGAGAATTTCTGCATGCTTATGTAAAATTCGCGGAGATATTTGAGACCAATGTATTGAGTTATATCCTTTTCAGCACCCAAAATTTCTCTCATCTTCTATCGAGGTTTAGGAGAATTTGAGAAAAAAAAAGGCTTTATTTTAGCGATTATTGGTTCCTTTTAGGGTAAAAGAGAATTAATTTGCTTTAGGAGATCTTAAAGTATTAATTAGTCACTAAAACTATTAATTCAATTTTGTGAATTTTGCCTTGAAAATATGGATCATTTTATAATTTTTAAAGCACCAGAATTTTTCTCTGTCTGACTACGTAACGAAATAGAAAACACAGTTATACAACTCTCCTACTTGCAGTTTTGAAAATGTTGTATATACTTCTTCACCTTATTTTGAGAAAGTTTGTAAATGCAAGTACATCTAAGATCACTATTTAAAAGGAAATAAAAGTTTGTAGCCATTATCGAACATCCAGTTGAATCAAACAACATTTAAAAGAATCAGATGTGAAATCTTTTTAAAGATAAAAAATCTGATGTGTACACCACATGACCTCCTTGTACGGAATATTAAATTATACGCATTTTTTCTTGCATTTCATTTAAACTTTATTGGATTGAATTAAATCTACTTTGTCAATAGCACATAAACCACAATAGAATAAAAGCACTCTTTAAAGTTTATTGTATTTGTTTACCATAGCGACACTCTGACGCTAGGTTCACTTAACAGCGTTATATTTCGTTCATATTATAACTCAAAATGCACAAAATTTATATCATTTGAAGAATTATCTAATCGTTGTCACATGTTCGATTCAAATACTGTAATAAGTATAGAACGATGTATAAAAGAAATTAAGCAAACAAAACAAAAAAGAAACAGTTTTTCACAGACGATTGAGTATTTCTCATTCAATTAATTCAGTTCTCACTTCGCGTCAAGGCAAAACTACATAAAAACTCAAAATATCTATATTAAAAATTACGAAGTAAATCTTAAACACTTATTTCCTCGAAAAAATTCCAGAAAGGATTCAGCTTGATTTAATTCGCAAAAAATAATGAAGGCGTTATCTTTGTTGTTGCGAAGCTACGTTTCTCTAGATTGGCAACAAATCCACTATCTTGCTGTTTCAAATGTAAACAAGCAATGACCGCCATCAAAAAAATTCTTAGGCTCAGCGGCGCTTAAACAGCTTTAAAATTGCTGATAATTCTAAAAATATTGCGTACAGATTTACTAAAGGCATAAAAACCTTAACCGGAACATACGAACAACATAATTCAATCATCTTTAAAGCAAAAAATGTACAATTTACAAACATATCATAAAGAAACTGAGATCACTCAGCTGGGTAACAGAGTGGATATATATACATTTATTTACGTTTGGTGCGGCCGATTGCAACCAAAATACGAGATGCACATCTACATGTTATAACTGTCCTATATACAAAATTTCAATGTTCTGAGACTACTCGTTTTTGAGTTATGCGAGATACGTACGTACAGACGCCACGAAAAATTCTCTTTAGATTTCATTTTAAAGCAGTTTTATAATTTTTTTGGAGGAAAAGAGTCTTTTATTCGATCCTTACGTACAGATGTCACGGAAAAACATCGTTAAATTGCATTCGATAGCGGTCAAAATTGATATTTTCGTGAAAATATGCTGCTTTTGAACTTTTCGCGATTACAATACTTCCTTTTTACTTCGTACAAGGAAGTAAAAAACTTAATCCAAAGAAAACAAGTAATTATCAGAATATCAGAAATTTTCACCAAATGTTCCGACCCAGAGATGTTTAGAAAATGTATTAAAAGCATTCCAGCAGCAAAAAGTTCAAAATTAATTCGCGAAAATCTTGAAACAACTTTCAACCATCTTCCCCACCACCTGCAGGAAGACTTTCGGTATGAAAGAAAAACCAATTACAGACTCCTTTTTGAGACCATTTTTGTTGATGAAAATTAGAAAAACTTAGTTTTGTTGAATGAAGTGTGGGTTTATTTATCAAACAGGGATATGGAAAAAGCATTTTTTACAAATAAAAAATATATAGAGTTTTTTAAAAGTGGCTCCAACATGCTAAGAAAAGTTTTTCCTGAAGGGTTTTGCCGGTACCTGGTTTTGGATCTAAAGGAAAGCTTAAAGTTAATCCAGAAGCAAAAATTAATTCTATTTGTTATAAAACAGATATCTTAGTTTCAACATGTTGTTATACAGAAGCTGTTCGCACATTTCTTTTCACGATTTTCATTGTATTTACAGAAATATATTAACTAAAGTTTTGTGTTTTAAATGCTCCATTTGATACACTGTATTCTTCACTATTTTTCTACACCGTAATTTCCAAGAAAAGCAAGCCTTTTTTAATATCGAAAGAGATATTTTTTCCCATTCCTCTTGAACAGGTTTCCAAAGTCCAAAGAGGGTCGTATGTTGACGTTTGGACAATTCGCTTTTTAAATGTCCAAAAGCGCTAAAATCCGTGGTTGATACTTCAGGAGATTTAGTAGGGATATGATTTGAAGAGTATGGCCTTGATTCCCGTTTTTTATTCCATTTTTTCCAGGAAATTAACAGTAGATTTTGACGTGTTGCTGCTTGCTTTGTCTTGATGCAGTTTTACTGATTGATGGCACTGTGGGTAAAGAGAAGTATTTAATATTTGAAAACTGTGTTTAAAATATATTCCTTATATGGATTTGACCTTAACAGTTTTCTGCACTCTTCAATTTTTATTTGTCATTATATCAAAAAACCAGCAACAGTCATAAATCCCTTTGAAAAACTTGCTTTAGATTCTTTGAACCATGTTTTAAGATTTCTTTCTTCTCTGTGATGACAATTAATGGACCTCTTTTTATTGCGGTCATTTAAATCTACCCAGGATTCATGTAATGTGACAATATTTTTCTATTTTTTATCCGAACAGTTGTTTCTCCGAATTCTGCAGCGTGTTCTGCTTTCGGCGCTATGTCGTGGAGAAAGACGATGCGCATTACGTTTTTTCGCCGTTTTAAAATTCAAATCAACATTACTCACTTTGTTTATTGGCCATTTTAATCATTATGCACCTTTCCTTTGACTTGTCCTTTGACATTAAAGTTCTTACCTTTGCAGCATTCGAAACATTCCGTTTTTTCCATGGATATGTAATTAGAACAATTTTTCTCCCTGAAGACAAACTTTGACGCTTTTCTGCCTTATTATTGATAATGTTATCTATCGTTTCTTTAAGTACTGAAAAATCATGGCTTTCAGAGCATTTTTAATAACTAAATACGAATGTTCTTCGGAAAGAGCATAAACATAGCCTTCCGTCCATTGCTCATTTAAAAGCGTTATTTTTCATGAAAAAAAATTGTCAAGTCAGACAATTTACATTTTCAAAAATATGTTTTCAGTTAAAAAAATTTCCAAACAGGCGATTTTTTATAGCAAATCAAAAATCGTCTAAAAAGTGTGCGAAACAGCCCCTGTAATATTCTACATTGCATAATGAAAAAAAAGTATCTTTGCCATAATAGTGTCTCCTGTCCCATTTCGTGATCAACAAATTAGTTTTCGGAAAACCTGTCATAAACTTCCAAAACAAATATACAATTGAACCCCGCATTTATAAAATTTTCGGATTAGTATTATAGAATTTTTGAATTATTGGCTGTTGGAGTAAACCACTGAAAAATAGATCCTGCAGCATTACAAGATTTATGGGAAAGAAAATGTTAGATCTATCTAAATTTCATCTAAGTATTTTTTCCTTTTAATGTGCTTTATTTTTGGAAAGTTTGATCCATAGTTATTACTCGTATTTATGCTCTGGACATAGAATTATCAAAAGCCAGTCGGTCGCCTTTGTCCTTCCTGTTAGCACAATTATTGATTATAATTATTACTCATATTTAAGTCTCATATTTGTGAATGCGAAATTTACCAATATCAATAATTAAGGGCGAATTAGTGTTTACGAAAACTTTTGACTGAACTTTGGTGAGTATTTAAAGGTAATTCGTTTAATTCCCGTGACACTGGTCATCTAGCTACTCTCCGCATGATGTTCCGAGTCTCTCCCTTTCTCTTATACACATACCTACGCTTACATTCATCCAAATCTGCTTTTGCATTCCACGCTAGTCGTCTCACTCAGCCAGTTCATTCGTATCACAAATTGAGGAAT